AAATTCTCTTATCAAATATTGCCCTCATTAGGAGATAGAGGTCTATGTTCCAAGGAAGTTTTGCCATTTGCCATTCCTGGCTCCCAATGTGCAACTTCCTTCTGAAGAGGAAAACTCATGATAATAACTGGTTTTTTTTTTTCTGTTTTGCTTCACAGTCAGGATGTCTATTGAGTTTAGAATAGGCACCATGCAGGTTTTCTGGGCTGTAAAGAAAAGAGGAACCAGTATAAACTGAAGGGGGAAGAGAAACAAAGCCTAAAGCCACAGGCTGTAAATCTTTCTAAAATATTCCAGGAAATTTTGCTATTCTGCTTCACCTGAACCTTGTACAGATCTGAAGTGCCTCTAAGAACCTTGCCAACTATGGTTGAAATAAATAATATATGTAAAAGGGCAGCCTCTGGTGCTGTGGTACTGGAACAGTTCCTAGCCTTTTTGCCTAAGGATCTTCAGCCAAACTCCAGCAGCAGCAAATAGAGAAGCAGCTGAAAGTCTGTTGGAGAACTATTCTTCCAGAAGCAAATCAAGAAACACCAGAGCAGCCAGGTGCAGTGGTGCACACCTGTAATCCCAGTGGCTCAGGAGGTTGAGGCAGGAGGATCTCGAGTTCAAAGCCAGTTTCAGGAATTTAGTGAGACGCTAAGCAACTCAGTGAGACTCTGCTTCTAAATATTAAAATACAAAATAGGGTTGGGGACTGTTTCTTAGTGGTTGAGTGCCCCTGTGTTTAACCACTGGTACACCAAAAAGAAAAAAAGAAACATCAGAACACTCAAACTGGATCTCCTTGTGCTTTTATTTATTTGTGTATTTAAATAACATTTTTGTTTCTGAGGGGCTCCCTAAACCAGTGCCTTGCACAAAGTGCTAAACTATGTACCCAGGCTCCCAATGTGCAACTTCCTTAATGACCAATGAGATGATCATAGTTTCATGTGCTTATTTGCCATGTTTTGAAAAATCAGATCATTTGATGAGTTGTAGGAGTTTATTTACTATGAAGACAAATACTTCACTGGTTATTTTTTGCAAATATTTTCTCCCAGTTTGCCTCTTAATAGTGTCTTTTGAAGAGCAAAAAAAAAAAAAAAAAAGAAAGAAAGAAAGAAAGAAAGAAAATTTTCCCTATAGTTCTTCATTCTTGTGTCTTATCTTAAATAAACCTTTGCTTAACCTAAGGTCACAAATGGTATTTTTTGGTTTTTTAATATTTTCATCTAGGAGTTTCAGTTTTAACTCTTATATGTAGATTGGTTACCTATTTTAAAACAATGTTGTATATGGTATAATGTAAGGGCCAAGATGCACTTTCTAGCAGATTTGCCCTTTACGGAACATTTCAACTCTCCCCTTAGAGGCTTAATGAGATGAGGGGAACAGATAATATAATGGTAAGGAGTCAGAGGAAACCCTCTCTCAGGTAAGGGCAAAACATAATGCTTTTGTATGAAATATGGGCCAGTTTTGAACTGCCTGGGTTGTTCAGGAAATCTCAAGGCTCGTGTATGGTTCAAGGTGGTCCTGGGCAGATAGTGCTTCCTGTTTTCTGGAAAGTAGCAAATGAAAGCCTTCCCTAGAAGCAGGTACCTTCATTCTAATCTCAAATTATTCCCATGAGTAGCTTCAAATACAACCAAGCAGCCAGACATACACCTGTAGTCTCAGCTACTTATATCTACAAAGTGTGTCGTTTTGTCTGCCTGATTACTAGAAGCCTCCTCTGAAGTACATAGTCATGGCTCACTGGAGAGCAGAAACATCACTGTTGTGCCATAGTAGTGGAACTTGCTGGAAATCTGCCCTTCAGAACTTGCCAGAAATCTTCCCTCTAGGGTGCAGAGGAAAACCATTTACTGGGAAGCAGCTCATTGGAGGCACTCTGTTACAAGACTGCCAAGAACATGTAGGCAACTGCTGCCAGGCAGGGAAGGCTGCTGCTAGGTCCTGGAGAAGCTGGCTGTGAGTTTGCCTTGCCAACACATCAGAATGGGAAGGAAAGCCCTCCCTCCTGCAATGTCCCTCCAGCGCCTTCTACTGACAATCACAGCTCCACATTCCTTACTGGAGGGAAAGGATTGATAAGGTCCATTTTATGTTAGTAGGAAAATAAGGATAAATTTTAATAAATTGCTAGCTGCACCATACTGGATTGGGAAGCAAATATTGCCTTGGTTTCTTTGTAGATAAGATACTGGATCTGGCTTCTAGATTCACAGCCTTGCTACTCAAAACATTATCACCATCTGGGAAGGGTGGGGTGAGTGGAGGGTGTTAGAAATGCAGAAAGTTGGTTCCCACTTCAAACTTACTAAATCAGAATCTGCCTTTTGACAAGATCCCTCAGGGATTCATATACATATTCAGGATTGATAAAACAATGCTCTGGAGCCTAGATGTACTTGAGAAGCAGATGAAAGATGAAAGACGAAAAGTCTCAAACCCAAATAGCAGGTGGTAGACATGAGAAGAGACAGGTGAGGACTTTGACCAAACTGAGGAATTTATATTTTATGTAAAACAGGTAGTTAGTACTTTACCCTAAGCATTTATCCTAAAGGAACACAGGACCACTATTTCCAGTTTCTTCAGTTTTAAGAGATAATTGAGTGGTATAGCTTTTTGGAGATATAGCTCAGTTGGTAGAGTGCTTCGTTTGCATGCCCTGGGTTCAATCCCCAGTACCATCACCACCAAAAAAAAAAAAAAAAAAAAAAAAAAAAAAAATATTTTTTAATGTATAAAACCAAAATTTACATATTGAGAATGAACTTAATTTTTAAACAATGAGTCAAGTAAAACATATCAACATACTAGTTTTTGCCAAAGTTAGTAGCTTGTGTCTTCTGTTAAACCTTGTCCCCAGAAAAGTGCACATGTGCACCTTGAAACACATAATTTAGGAGGCAAACAGTGGTGTCTAATGGAACTTTCTGCAGTGATGGAAATGTTCTATCTGTGCTGTTCTATATGGTAGCCAGTAGCCACACAGGCTATTGAGCACCTGAAATGCAGCAACTCAATTTCAGAACTTAATTTCTAATTTGCTTTAATTTAAATTTAAACTGAAGTAACCACACGTATCTAGTGGTTACTACACTGGGCACACAGACAGCCTACATGCCATGGGTTAAAACTCCTCTGAAACATCTACTTTCTCAAAGCTTTCCCTTTGAGGCAGTTTTGCATTTAGGTAAAACAAAGTTGGCTGCTATGTTAAGTTTTAAAAGAATGGCCCTCTAAGTTGTCAGGTACTAATTTAGTGAAATATAAATTTTATTGAATTTGGAAAAAAAATGGTCTTTGCAGATGTGATTAAATTAAGGATTTTGGTATGAAGGGATTATCCTGGATTATCTGGGTGGGCCTTAAATACAACCACATGTATCTTTAGAAGACAGAAGTAGAAGGACACTTGAAGATGCTGGCCTTGAAGACTGAAGTGATGCAGCTACAAGCCAAGGAATACTGGTTTCTACCAAAAGCTGGAAGAAGAAAAGAATAAATTCTCCCCCTAGAACTTCCAGAGCAAATACTTCCCTGCCCTGCTGACACCTTGACTAACGCCCAGTGAAACAGATGTTTTGCTTCTGGCCTCCAGAACTATGAGGGAATAAAAGTTTTATTTTAAGCTGCTAGATTTGTGGTCATTTGTTATGGAAGCAACTAATTTGGTTGTTCTTTGTTTTTTGTTTGTTTGTTTTTAACTTCAGTCTCTGAGATCTGGCTATATGATGGAATCCATACCCAAGAATTCAACCCTGACCTCTTGTCAAATCTTACAGCTTTTCACAGTTCCTCATTCTCCTTCCATTTTCTCCTTCAATCACTTGTTGTGACTTCACATCCTGGCCAAATATCACCCTTGTTTCAGAGTCCTCATTGCCTAGAGTCATTTAACCCAAATACATCATCATAATAAACACATTGCCTTCTGCACTTCTGGGCTATCTTGCTATTTGTGCTGCCGGTTGGGGGGTAGGGATTGTTTTAAGTAGGAGTTTCCTCAAAAGTAATGTCTTTGGGGCTGGGGATGTGGCTCAAGCGGTAGCGTGCTCGCCTGGCATGCGTGCAGCCCGGGTTCGATCCTCCACATACAAACAAAGATGTTGTGTCCGCTGAGAACTAAAAAATAAATATTAAAAAAAATTCTCTCTCTCTCCTCTCTCTCTCTCTCTTTAAAAAAAAAAAGTAATGTCATTGTAATTTGAGAACAATTTTAAATTGTAATTTTTCAATGTCTACAAAGTTAGTGTCTTTGTTTCCTCCCCTAATTCCCTAGGTCATACTGAGTAGTAAATCAGCCTTTTCTTTTTCACTTGGGGCTCCAATACTAACATACTCTTTTTTGGGGGGGGGCGGGTTATTAAAAGGGTTTTAACCTTGTTATTGCTGTTTATGAATAAGCGAATGGCTTTCTAGGCATCTCTGTCCTGTCCCTAATTCCCCACTTCTCTCTACATTTTCCAGGACTCCCTTAGAAACTGACGGGTGAAGTTAGGATGCTGGGCTGTTATATTTTTTAGTTCCAAACTTTTTTCAATTACACTTAAAGTCCCCTGAGGAAATATAAGCGTATGCACCAGTGACGAAATTATGTGTGGGGACAGGCTCTCACGTTTTTAAGTACCACTATGTCCTCCTGTGAGAAACATGGGAATTGGGAGATTTTTTTTTTTTTTTTTGAAACGTCCTACTCCGGGCATAAGCACAGTCAGTAGAGCGGAGGGCATCAGAGGAACGCTGTGCCCAGAAAGCACGGTGATCCTCCCACCCCCACCCCATCTGTGACCTGGGCAAGTCCAGAAACCTGGGGTTTATATTTTGTAGATTGGGGATAAGTTTACCGGGTTGTAAATGACATGATGTTACGTAGAAGCACTCGGAGACATAGCAGCGCCGGTTGATTGGAGCCCGACGCAGAGCAGCAGGATTCCCACCGCGCCAGGCCACTCTCCGGCACTTGCCCCCAAGCCCGCAGTAGGAAGCCAGGTCGCGCCGCTGGTCTCCAGGGCAACCGCTCGCGCTTCCCGAGCCCAGCCCCGCCCCGCCTCGAGGACCGGAAGCAGCTTGGAGCGAGGCGTTCCCGGGGTTTCTCCCAGGCGGCTGTGGGCCAGTCCTTCCCCTCTGGGAGGTGAGAACCTGGGGTGCCGAAGCCGCGGGCAGAAGCGCCGTCACTGGGTGGGTCGGGCGCAGACCTGGCGCCACCTGTCCCTCTGCCGCAGGCGCAGCTCCTCTACACCCCCATTGGGGTCCTCTCGGCCCCCCCATCTCCTGCCCCACCTGGGCTGGCACCTCCCCTTGACCTTCCAGGTGCTCCTGCCCCTCCAGCTGAACCCACGCCCGCGCCCCACCCACAGCCCGCGTGCCCCGCACGGTCTCGCCGAGGCGAGATGGGGGAGCGGGAGGAAGGGGTGATGGGGCGAGTCCCATACTGCCCTCCCAAGGAGAGTTTAGAGTGGTTCTTCCCCGCAAAGACTCCTAGATCCAGGGGTCTGGGGGCAGCCATGGCTTCAGGGACCTCACCCCGTATAGGTCATTATGTGATGTTGGGGAAATCGTGCCATCTGTAGAGCTGAGAGAGTTGCGGAGACAATTGATTCTTCCCCTGACGATGAAGTGGCAGTGTTTCCCTGGTGATTCTCTCCTGCGACTTCCAGAAGGTTCCTTCAGCCTTAGGGTCCCTCACATGGTCCCTAGAGTTCCTGGAAGGCTCCATTTCTTTTACCCTTCCCTTACTCTTTTTCTGGCCCAGGTTCATCTGTGTGTGCTGCTCCTGGCCTTTTTCTTGTCTGCACTGGGCCTGTGAGCAGTAGTCCCTCAAAAGGCCTTGCCTGCCTCTGGCCTCATGACCACACAGCACCTGGAAAAATATGAACCTCTTGGATTTATGCCCCTGCCCTGACCTTTTGTTCTTGGACACTAAACCTAGCTTTGCTTTAACAGGTTCCTTATCGACAACATGGAAATAAAAATAACTTCCTAGGGCTTTTGTGGGGATTTAAGTGTGTTTTATTTATTGAGGGCTTGGAACAGTGCTTGACACATACTAAATCCTATATGTGTCCACTATTATTTGCCTCATACCATAAATTATATAAAGTTGTATCATTTTATGCAATATGTTTGTGAAGCCACAAACTTTATTCAGGTATCCATCAGGTCTCAGTATGTATAAATGCTTGGTGAAGTGAAAGGGAATCAAATAGCAGCCTATAAAAAGAGGAAAAGTGATAGGGGCACACCTAAGATTTTTAAATTAGTCATTTCTGAACTTGTACAATCATTATAACATACTACTGTCCAGCTTTTAAAATGTGATTAGTTATTGATGTTGCACATCCTAAAATGGTACTAAGAAAATGGTCTTTCCTGCTGCCTTCCAGCTAACAAGCTAATAATAACTTACAGAAATCATCACCTTGACACATTATTGTATTACTGGTGGCACTGTGAATTGATATTGCCTATTTTGCAATTTAGTTGAATGTACATAGCAAGACAGAATTTTTAACACTCTTTTGACCCCAATAAGCAAAGGCCTTGGGACATGCTTGAAGGAAATGACCTGAAAGGAGAAAAATAGTATATTCATGAAGATGATCCTCCCAGCATTAATTGTAATAGAGAAAATTAGACACATGTAAATATTATATAATAGATGAGTAAATAATATAGATGTTATGATGGAAAATAGGATTACATTAAGATACATGAATATGGCATTTTTTTCTTTTAAATGTTTTAACGTCAAAGTAACATTATTTTAACAATTAATGTAAGAATTCACAGCAAGTACTACTCTCATAAGACTGTTTTATCCAGCTCTTTGCAATAGACTAGATAAAACTAATTGATTCTTTGAATGTGCTCCAGAGTCATAGCTTTTCCGAGGTTTCCCTTAATTCTTTGGAAGCTCCTTTGAAATCCTGGCTGATCTCCTTTTGTAATATTTAGCCTCATGGGCATGAATTTCAGATAAATTGGGAATTACTCATGCACATGAATTAATGAGTCTTAACTCTTCAGTTCTCTAAGGAAGTATTCTTTGAAAGCATGGTTTATGTTGAGGTTAAGGTTGGTACTTTCTTGCAGCCTTATACTCTAATCTTAGTTGTTTGGTTCTGAGAAGCATTTGTCTTTTTTCTTTCTTTCTTTCTTTTTTTTTTTTTCTTTTTTAGTTGTATTTAAGGAGTGTCCATAAGGAGAGTACTGCCTCCTTGAGGGGAGAGCCTAGCAGTCCTGAGCCATTGCCAGTCAACATGTCTGCAAAATCGAGAGAGTCGTCAACGTGCCTCCCACAAAATCCACAGGAGCCCAACAGGATTTTAATAGTGAAGATGGAAGAGGAAGAACAGGCCTGTGATCAGGACTCCAGACTCCATTGGAGCAACTGCTATAGCCCAGAGACCTTTCGCCAACGGTTCAGGCAGTTTGCCTATGAGGATTCACCCGGGCCCCAGGAGGCTCTGAGCCAGCTCCGGGAACTTTGTCATCAGTGGCTAAGGCCAGAGGAGCACACCAAGGAGCAGATCCTAGAATTGCTGGTGCTGGAGCAGTTCCTGGCCATCCTGCCTAAGGAGCTGCAAGCCTGGGTGCACCTGCACCCACCAGAGAATGGAGAGGAAGCTGTGACTCTGCTGGAGGATGTGGAGAAAGAGGTTCATCAGCAAGCTGAGCAGGTAAGAAGGGCACCTGCTGGGGCATGACTGTGGCAGGTCATGAGGAGGGGTGTGCTATCAAATCCTATTCCCACTTAGCACAACTGGAGGTGCTGGAGGTATGGGCTATGAAATGTGTTCCTGTATATCTCAGGAAATAGGATGTCTGCACATTTTCCCTCCCTTTTCTTGTGTCCAGGGTAGTTTCTTCTGTGTTATTTTATCTTCAAGTCCCTATCCAATGCGCTTCTCCAGCCTCAATTATACCTAACTCTTCCCAGGTCTTTTTTGGACAAAGAAAGGACAGAACTGCAGAGAAGGTGGCACCTTGGGAAATCACTGAGGACTTGGCAAGCAGTCAGCTCAAGCCTTTGAAGAAGCAGTTCCAGTGGGCACCATGGGAGCTACACTCCTTAGGACGTCATGGTGAGGGTGCAGGGGGCAGGACTTAGCTCATGGTGGGGATGAAGGGGGCCCAGCCTACCAAATACAGTTGGCTGCTTTATTAAAGAGGTCCCAAATCTCTTGTCTCATCCTCACAGTGGGAATTTCCAATTATTTGTCCTGTTCAATGAACAGTCTTGGTATTTGGGTTTTGTTTCTTTTTTATAGATTCTTAGAAAATCTTTAGTTATAAAATCCTTGAATCAACTCCATCAGGATTTTCAAACTTTTTTAAAGCATGGCATGACCTTTTCTCATATGAAATTTTACATGGAATTCCATTATATAAACCAAAGGAAAACACAGCTACTTTGTCTGAAGCAGGAGTGGGCAGTCTCAGCCCACAAGACCTCCAGATCAGCCTCATTCTCATCTTTTCCCTTCAGGAAGCCTCTGAGGCCCTTCTGTGGGACTTAAGGTACGCAGTGTAGCTGCTAAACTGTCTCATCAATTTCTGTGTAACCGCTTGCTTAGTTACTTGTGAGAGTTGCCCACAGTACTCCTGAGATGACTTGGCTGTGTCAGCTTTGAATATATTTCTCTGCTCCTTCACATCTTAACTGGCTTCTTTTGCTCTTTGCATCAGTTTTTACAAAAACGTTCCAAACTAGCTGACATAGCAATCTGTTCTTCCATTACAGAAACTTAAACAATGAGTGTTACAGGAAGAAAACAAAGCAGAAATAAGGGGGTTGAATGCCAGAAATCAAGAGAGAAATCCCATTTGGGAAGGATTGCTACACACACACACACACACAGCTTCATATTCCAGAAGTGGTTGATCAGCTAAGCAAAGTTAGGTTTTTCCAAGGCAGTTTTGATAAGAAACTACAGGAAAATGAAAATATAGAAATTTAGAGAGAGATTTACTTTTGCTTGGCACTTAATACCCCTAGTCTCAAAATCATCTTGGCTTAACCAAGAAGATTAATTGTTGGAAAAAAGTGAAAGTCTTTCCATACTCCACTAAGAGTAGGAGGGAAAACATCCCCTTCTGTTGTGGTGGGAACTACAGAAGTGATCATCCTCAAAGCCAAGGCCTGTGCTCCTGGTATTGTTAAGGACCATGTTCCTCCTGTAAATGTCCTCACAGGGACCTTTTCTACATTTTTAAAAAAATGAATAAAAATTTGAAGCAGCCAAAGACCCCAGGATTTTGCAATACAAAGCATACAGAACCAGGACAGGATAACAACCATCGCTCAAAGCCACAGCATGATTTCAGTGGTGTGGTACTGAATCATGTTTTATCAGGGCTTCTACAGATGACCTGTGTTTCAGTACTCTAAACTTTACCAATATTTTGATAGTAGTGACTAAACTTTGAGGTCACTTTATAATGTGAGCTATCAAAAATGAATTTTGAAACAAAATCTTTACAACTTATAAAATGGTAATTATAAATAAATTATAAATAAACATGTAATTATAAATAAACATGTAATTTGTGAACAAATGCAAGAAATAATTTAAATTCATTTTGTAATAACTATATGTAGACCCATTTTAAGTTAATTCTAAAGATTAAAAAACACTCATAATTTTCTTAGCAAGTATCATACACAGTACTAACATGTTTTCTCCCCCAAACCACTTTGTTATTCTTTTGATTAGGCCTTGAGAGGACCTACAGAATCACTTATCATCAGTCCCTCTCTGTGTTTCCTCAGTCCCATTTATACAATTATTTCAGATGAAGGAACCTCCTGCTGTCACAGTTATCCCAGCCAAGTCATGTCCTCAGCCATTCCTCAAATTGCCCTGCTTTGTTTTTGCAGATTAATTTTAATGGCCATCTGTGTTCAGCTTCCATTAAAATGCTACCTTGAGGATTGATGAAGTGATCCTTCAGTGAATACTCAAAATTAAGTTGCCATTCTGTATAATAAGTTCTAGAGCTTCAGGCAGCCTGAGTCAGAAGGTACTCTGCATTGAGCCATATTTGAGTGGCTGCAGATCCTAAGCAGATTTTTTTATAGATATTTAATGCAACATAAAAATAATATAGGAAACTGGGCTGAGGTTGTAGCTCAGTGGTAGAGTGCTTGCCTAGCATGCATGAGGCAATGGGTTCGATCCTTAGCATCACATGCAAATATAAAAAATAAAATAAAGGTATAAAAAATACAGGAAACTGAGCTATTCAACCAGTACTAAAAATATATATACAGGAGAGGTTTTCATAGATGGGTATTCTGTGCTGCCCTTTATCTTTTAAGGTGCCAATTTTCTTAGTCTCCCTTTTTTGTCTAAATTTTATTTTCTGACTTCATTTTCCATATTTCTTTTTGATCCCTCGGTTTTTTTCAGCTCATTTCTTAATTATTGATTCATTCATCATTACTAAGCTTTTGTTTATCAATGCTCTTATACTAAATCTTGTTTATTACTCATATTTGACTCCTCTCTTTCCAGTTGCTCTTCTTCTCTAACAGTGCTTTATCTTTTAGGCCCTTTCTTTTCTCCCAGTCTTTCCTCAATCTCTGACATATCTTTTTACCCCTACTCATGATTCTGTGTTTTCCATGGAGCTTTGCATCTTTATATTTGGATACCTTTTTCTTTGCCTTATGATCTCAATATCTTATATTACCCTCTGCATCCTCCACACTGTGATGTTCATGAACATTCTTGTTAATAATTCATTTATTTTTTCATTTGGATCATTCTTTTCCCTTTCTTTCTGAACAGAAAACTGGTGACATTTACTTTTCTGTTTATTATTTCAGATGCAGACACCAAAACTACAAATGTAAAATCTGCTTCAAGGCAGAAGACTTCCTCAGGCATGGGGCTGTGTGCTAATACCCGTCATCTGAGTGCCTCCCAGAGTTTCATATCTAGAGGAACCTGGGAACAAGGTGGCAGGTTTGAAAAAAAACAGGGAAACCTCTCTCGAAAAAAACAACACAAGTGTGAAGAATGTGGCAAAATCTTTAGTCAGAGCTCTGCCCTTATTTTACATCAAAGAATCCACAGTGGAGAGAAGCCTTATGCATGTGACGAGTGTGCAAAGGCTTTCAGCCGGAGTGCAATTCTGATTCAGCATAGAAGAATCCATACTGGGGAAAAACCCTTCAAGTGCCATGAATGTGGCAAGGCCTTTAGTCAGAGTTCAAATCTTTTCAGACATAGAAAAAGACACACTAGAGAAAAAGTCCCATCAGTATCATGAGGGAATCAAAGCACATAGAGCTTTTACAGATAAGACCGGACCCAAGTAACAAACATGCCTTTAGTATAAATCAGTGGTTTTAGTGGGTACCAGTTTCCTTTCAAGGGTTATAAAAGTCATGGGAAAGGATGTAGAATATCTTATGTCAGCATTATTTGCTTTTCTGCCTATCAGTGCAGGTCAGTTCAAATGTTTGAGATTACAAAGCTTAATTCAGAGTTTCATCCTTAAGCAGCCCTTGAAAGACGTCTTCAGACGTATTTTACTATTTCCGTTATCAACCTAAATGATGAACTAGTGTATTTCCTTTTTAGACAAATGGTTTTTTTTTCCCTTTGAGAAGGAATGTGTTACTCAGTTTAAAAACAGATATTGCCCTGTGTTTCATAGATTAATCACTAGAATTCTGAAGACCCAAAATTCAACGGCTCTTTAAAATTTTTCCAATTTGGTCTTCTGTTACCAGATTTACACTATGAGAGCAGGATTGAGGAGGCCTGTTATGGTTTGGGTCTTAAATGTCCCCCAAAGGTTCATGTAGGAAACTTGGCCCCTGGCTGATGATGCTCTGGGAAGGCTGTGGAACCTATAGGAGGTGGAGCCTAAATGAAGCATGCTGGACCACTGGGGTAGTGCCCTTGAAGGGTACATTGGAATCCTGGCCCCTTTCTCTTTCTTTGCTTCCTGGCTGCCATAAGGTAAGCTGCCTCCTCCTCGATGAGCTCTGCCCTGTGAGAGGGACTATCTTGTCACAGGCCCAAGGACAACAGAGCCAAGCAATCATGGACTGAAACCAATAAGTCAAAATAAATCTTTCCTCCTTTTAGGTTGATTTTTCTAGGGTATTTTGTCACAGTGATGGAAAGCTGACTAATGTAAAATTAGTACTGAGAAGTGGGGTCATTGCTGTAACTACACCTGACAGTGTAAAATGGGTTTGTGAGAGGAGTTTGGAAATGTCTGGAGGGGCAGACTAAAAAAACCCTATAGTGCTGTACGTGGAGCTTAATAGAGACTGATGGGTGAGCAGAAGACCGGTTTCTGTAGGAATGCAGACAGTAAAGGTTGTGCTAATGAAGCTTTGGCTGGAAATGAGGACTCCATTAGGAATTCAACTAGCAGCTATTCTTGTTACAATTTAAGCAAAGAACTTCTCTACATTTTGGCCATGCTCTCAGACTTTGTAAGAGACTGGATTTAAAGGTAATGGACTAATTACTAATTAACTCCCAAGTTTAATTCTGCAAATATTTCAGTGACCTAGGTGTATTAAAATAGGTTGGAAATCAAATCTGAAATTTATATAACCTTTTTTTCAATGAGAAAAAACTACAGATAGTCCTATAAATAGGACACTGGGACAATACAGTATCTTTTACATATATGTAAGCAATTCTATAAATAGAACATTGGGCACATGTTACATAATATACAAAGAACTAACTTTCAACAGTTATTTTTTGGTGGAAAGGAGAAAGCACTTCAAACAAAGGGTAACATTACATTTTGGATAATACCTTGGTTTCCCAATACATGGTTTGTTTTTACATCATAGTTGTTCCTGATATTTGAGAATAATATGGCTTTTCTTGTTAAATCTGACATCATCTTGAACAGTAATAAGTCTAGAAATATTATATTTTCTTCCTGATGGGTTCTCCTTCCATAATTTTAAGTATGATAAGCACATGTCTCTTTGGGAATTCAACAAGCTTATGAGGTCTTTCTTATCTCTGTTCATAAATTTGAAATAATTTATGCACATATCAATTATTTAAGTGAAAAAAGGCCAATACCAATTTTTATTATGTCTATAATAGCTGATAATAAAGCAAAATATAAACCTACCAATCATGTTTATCCACACCACCACTGAAATTATTACAGGTACACACTACCCTTGGTTGAGTCACACTGGCTCTATTCTCTTTTACTTTGTTGAACTTTGTCAACTTGTTCCACTGTATTTTAATTTATTCCAGTAATTTATTGTGTAACCATTTTACAATAAGAATTTCATTATTTGTATCAAATCTGAAATTATACAGTCTTCTTGCTTGTTTTATTCATTAGTGTTGTCAGTTTCAAAGGACACTTATTAGTCTGTTTCCCCTCATTGTGTGTGTAACTTGGAATCCAATATTTCAAAGGTATTTCAAGAAGTCATAAGCAGTGAATAAATTGTTGGAAAAAACAGGGTATGATTGTGAATTGTCTACCACTTCAAGTTTTCATAAAACTATCATACTCCCAGGCAAAATATGACTATTAGATTCTTCTCAAGTGCTTTTTCCACAATATTAGTCACAGTTATAGCAATATCCTGATTCTCCACACAGTACCCAGCATTTATAACCAAATTTTTGGACTTCCCTTTTAAACATTGTTTCAGTGGATTATGTCTACAATAGCTGATAATAATTTCATCCACTCTCTTTCTTTAAAGATACCCAATTTCATGCATGACTTTGGAATCACACTTATTAAAGTACAAATTTTAAAAAGAAGCTAAATACTTCACAATGAGACAATAGGAAAGATGCCTTGAGGACATCTCAGAAATCATCAAGATCCAACCCATTGCCAACTCAAAGACTTTTGTTAGAGAAGAGAACCCCAGAGCACCCTGCCATGCAGGGTTGTCTTCAGAATTGTTTTCCAGGATTCCTTTTTCCAAGTTGAGCCATCAAGACACTCAGAGGCCACAGTAGCAAAGGTTTAAAATGGCCCTGGTGATAACACCATATGCTGGTGGCAGACTGTGGCATTATCCATGTGATGCTGGTTTTGCAGGAATGCCGGAAGCAAGACTTTGGGAAGCATGAAGGCTTCTACTAAGATTTCAAAGAAAAGCCTGGGAAGCTAGGCAGTGTGTGATAGGAGCAGAATCCCTGCAAGCAGCCTCTGTGAGGGTGAAGCCCAAGACATCATGGAGACACTGGAGAATTGGAAATGCCAGGAACATGGAATGCCTGTTGAGACAAAATTCAGGCAATGAATGTAGCCATGTGGCCGGGTGTGGTGGCACATGCCTGTAATCCCAGTGGCTCTGGAGGCTGAGGCAGGAGGATCAAGAGTTCAAAGCCAGGACTGGGGTTGTGGCTCAGTGGTAGAGCACTTGCCTAGCACACATGAGATACTGGGTTCGAACCTCAACACCACATAAAAATAAAGGTATTGTGTCCACCTACAATTAAAAATATATATTTTAAAAAAGAAGAGTTCAAAGCCAGCCTCCCTAATGGCAAGGTACTAAGCAACTCAGTGAGACCCTGTCTCTAAATAAAATACAAAAAAGGACTGGGGGATGTAACTCAGTGATTAAGTGCCCCTGAATGCAAAAAAAAAAAAAAAAAAAAGTATCCAGGTGGATTATAGCTAGTGAAACCAAAGAGGCAGGGCTTCCCTGTTTGAGGTCCACATCTTGCCACCATGGGTCCTTGGATGCTGGACACAGATCTATAGGGTTTAATGTTTGCTTGCTAGGTTTTGTTCTTGTATTGGCCTAATTTCCCCTTGCTATTTTCCTAAACCTGCCTTTTGGAATAGGAATGCTTACCCTCTGCCATTAATTTTGGAAGAACATAACTTGTTGATTTTTTTATGGGTGCCCACAGCTAAGGTTTTCCTCAAGTGTCAGAGACACTTAGGACTTGGACTTTTGCATGTGTGCGTGTATGTGGTATTGGGGATTGAAACCATGGTCTCACACTTCCTAGATATGTCTCCACCACTGAGTTACATTCCCAGCTGAACCTCAACTTTTGAATAGTTCTGGAACTATTGAGACTTTGGAGATTCTTGGAGATAGACTAAATACATTTTGCATTATGAGGTTAATATGAGACTTTGGGAGCCAGGGACAAATTGCTATGGTTTGGATCTGAAATTCTCCCAAAGGTCATGTACTAAAGGTTTGGTAACCAACTTAAGGAACTATTGAGAAAAGGTACAACCCTTAGGAGGTGGGGTAGTGAAGTCATGTGTCCTTGAAGGGCCTCTTCTCCCTCCCTTCCCTCTCCTTCCTAGCTGCCATGGTAGAGCAGCTTTGCTCTACCACATGCTCCCTGTCATGATGTTCTACTACCCAACAGAACTCAAATTATGGGGCCATATGATGATGGATTAAAACCATAGCCCAAAATAAGTTGTTTTCTTTCTTTCTTTCTTTCTTTCTTTCTTTCTTTCTTTCTTTCTTTCTTTTCTTTTCTTTTCTTTTCTTTTCTTTTCTTTTCTTTTCTTTTCTTTTCGGTACTAGGGATTGAACTGGGGGGGGGGCACTCAACCACTGAGTCACATTCCCAGACCTATTTATTTATTCAATCAGATTCCCTGTTTAAAAATAAAATGATAGATGTGTTTGTTAAGTCCAACATTATACAACTTAGTGTTTCTTTTCCTGGGCTTCCCCCCAAAATTCTATAATGTATCACAAGAACACATGTATGGTTGTGTTTCCCATGGAGCAACAGTTAGTTACCCATGATGGAGGCTGCCATCAGAAGTAAAAGTCCTTGTAAAGATAAGAGAAGAGGTTCATAGTTACCTTCTTTGTCTGACTGGTCTCCTGATAAAGTGTTAACAGTCTATTCTCAGAAAATCCAGCCATACCTATTGCTGGATTCCAGAATAAATGTGGAATTAAAAGTGTTCTGTTTATTTAATATATTGATAAGTATAATATTAGTAGGGAAACAAGTAAATGCAAATTTTATTATACAATTTTCTGATAATGATTATTCTTTGTATTTCTAGTGAATATGTAGTGGGTTTTGTGTATTATCAGATATTAAAAATTACTTGGGGCTCATTCTCTTTGCAATCAAGAGAGGAATAAGCCTTTTATTATGCAACAATACTTCAGAGATATATGTTTTGTGGATTGCTGCTTACTTGTGGAAAGAGTTTTTTAGATTCTACATGAATAATGTGGCAGGTTTTAAATCAAGTATTCTGAGAGAAGCCTCTGTAATACTTTCAAAGATTGTATTCTCCTTATTGTAAATAATCTGAAATTAAACACCATAAAGTAATGTAACTCATATTATCTAAGTATATGATAAATCTTTAGAGAATATTAATGGGCACTTGGAATCATTTTGCACTTGTATAAGTCTCTCCTAATAAGTAGATAGAACTAGTTTGTCTAAAAAGAAAATTACTATGACTTAGACTAAAGTTGATAAAGATTAGCATGCTATTAGCATCCTCATTAGACTGATTCATTTTCGGGGATAATAAGTACTCCAAAATGAAACTGGCAATGTTTTACAAATATTACTTTACCTGGACCATTAATATTACCAATAATCCTATGTTCTGTCTTTACTTCTCTTCTGTTGTCTTCAGAGACCAAGTCAGATGTTCATTACTTTTATTCATCTTTCTGTATTAGTTTGGAATGCTTGCAGATGCAAAATCCATCTTTGGTGGCTTAAACAGAAGTTTACAACCTGAAATTCAGAAAGTGAGTTGCTGCTGGTTCTCAACAGCAGCGAGACAGTGATTGGTCTGGTCCTTTTGGCTCTTCTCTCATGCTTATTTTCTTGGGTTTCAGAGCTGTCCAAGCTCCAGGAAGTACATCTGGAGTCAAGACAGGAAGAAGGAAGGGGTGCTGGTCATGCCCATATCCTTGATTAGGAGGAACAAAAGTTTCCAAGAAACCCTAGCAAATTCTGCTTATGTTTCTTTATTGCCTGTTCAGCCTCTAGAGGGAAAGCAACAGGGCCAAGGGGAATTTGGACTGAGACTCAGGTCAGGTCAGTTAGCAGTATTAGCCACACTGACCCATTGATTCCTTCCTCTTTATAGGCAGATGACTATGCTTTTGACTACTGCATTATAGAAAAAATGATGAGAACCCTAACAATCTCCTGCCACTAAATTTTCCAACTTATTTAGACTCCACCCATTTTTCCTCTCTCCTTTCTCTCAGGATAAAAGAGAGCTATCTCCTTTGATCCTTACCCTTCCTTCCCATGTATTTTAGTCACCTTTTCTGTTGCCATGACAAAGCCTAAGAAGAACAATTTTAGAGGGGGAAAAGTTTATTTGGAGACTCATGGTTTCAGAGGTCTCAGTCCGTGGACAACCAACTCCATTGCTCTGGGCACGAAGTGTGACAGAACATCATGGCAGAAGAGAGTAGTGGAGGAAAGTAGCTCAGGACATGGCCACCAGGAAGCAGGGAGTTTTCCTCTCACCAAGGACAAAATATATAGCCCAAAGCTATATCCTAGTAACCCACCTACCCCAGCCACACCCTACCTGCCTATGGTTACCACCCAGTTAATCCCTATCAGGGAATTAATGCATTAAGACTCTCACCCATTATTTTACCTCTAAACTTTTTTGCATTGTTTCACATATAAATTTTTGAAGGACACATCACAGCTAAACCATAACACCAGTCCATTGAGCTTTGGCTGCCACTGCTCATTCTCTCTCTTCTGCTTCTTTACCCACTGTCTTCCTTTAGGATCCATCACTTCAACATTTAAAAATGCTGTTGTGATCTCCCTCCAACTTAAACTTTTCCAGCATATACCTGCAAAATCAAGGTGGTAGCTAGTCTCTGAGTGAGGGGACACTTAATGGTTCTTGATTTTGCCCTCTTCATATGCATTCATCTCTTTCTACCAGAATAATCTTTCTAAAGCACAAATGGTATCATGTTCTTTCTTGCTTAAAAAAGTGGGTTTCCCACTGCTTTTAGGATAGAGTGAGACCTGCTTTATGAGTTTTTGAGGATTTTTATGATCAGAATACAATGGCACTTACAATTTTCTCTTTTGCCATTGGCTTCTTTCATGCTACAGATATTTTGAATGATCAGAAGTCCTTCTCCTGACTCTGTACCTTTAATGTGTCTTTTTTGAACTTCTAGACAGCTTCCACATGTCATCACACCCCCTTGTATTCCTCATGTTCTCATTAAAGTGCCACTTCCTCCAGGAAGCCTTCCCTAACAGCCCAGGAGTAGGTGGAGGAACAGCACCACTCTGCTATGGATCCCATAGCAGTCTAATCTGGCTTTATATTTATCACATGAAAGAAAATATTTTT